CACAGTTGAAAAGCAAACAGGGCACCCAGACATCCCCCCTTCAAGGTAAAGCCCTTGAATTTCCTGAACTCCCACTATTTACTCAGATTAATCAAGGATCTGGTTTCCAGAGCTCTCAGCTGCCACCAGGCCTCATCCTGGCACACACCTGTGTAATTCTACCCTGGGCCTGGAAGACAGACAGGTGACCCAGAGACGGCTTTGTTCTCCGCTGTCCCGTTCTATTATGCAGGCCCTGGCCTGGGACCAGCTCATCAGCTTGACTTACCACCCGAAACCACTCGCTCCTGGGCCTCTGCGCCCAACATTTATGTAACACGGGTCCTTGGAGGTGTTCACAGCTCATTTACTGTCCCATCGTGCACCGTTTTATTTGTCCTCCCCGCAGTCATGAGATTGGCTTTTATTCTACTGTTAAATTTGCAATGCAACGAGAGGCAAACCAAAGCCCCAAAAGTTCAGGCGAGCAGTTTGGGTTGATAGGGTTGGCGCTGTCTGTGGCCGGGCAGATCTGTTAGCAGCAGGAAATAGGTGAATCAAAGAGAAAATTCAGAGTCCTTGTTCCCATCAGTGCGCCAAGCACGGCCAGAATGCTCAGAGCACCGAAACACATCACGCAAGTAAAGATGCACTCACTTAACTCCAAAACGGATTAAGGACATCACAGATCACAGGTAAACATTAAGTGCCTCTTCACACCCCTTCTCACTGACCAACTCACCACCCCAGAACCCAGAAGTACCTTGTGGGTTCGCTAGGCATCTTTCCAAGGATACCTTTTTTTTTTTTTTTTTGAACGGCAGAGAGACAGAGACAGAGACAGAGACAGACAGATATCTTCTCTTGCAGGTTCACTCCCCAAATGCTTGCAAGAGCCAGGGGTGGGCCAGGCTGAAGCCAGGAGCCTGGGACAGAAGCCGGGGCTCCCACGTGCGTGGCAGGGATCCCAGGACTTGAGCCATCCTCTGCTGCCTTCCCCAGTGCACATCATCAGGAAGCTAGAATCGGAAGTGGGGCCGGGACTCAAACCCAGACACTCCTATATGAGCTGCAGGCATCCCAAGCAGCTTTTTGTGAAGATTTCTTTGTTTATTTATTTGAAATGAAGAGTTCCAGAGAGGCAGAGGCGTGGGGCGGGAGGAGAGGGAGAGAGAGAGAGAGAGAGAGAGAGAATCTTTCATCCACTGGTTCATCCCCCAAATAGACTGAGCCAGGCTGATTCCTGGAGCCAGGAGCTCCAGGTGCCCAAGTACTTGGCTGTCCTCTGCTGCTTTCCCAGGTGCATTAGCAGGAAGCTGGATTGGAAGCAGGAGGCCCTATGGGATGCTGGCCGCTATGGGTTGTGACTTTACCCACGATGCCACAGCGCCGGCGCCCTAAGCAGCTTCTTTTTTTTTTTTTTTTTTTTTTTTTTTTTTTTTTTTTTGACAGGCAGAGTAGACAGTGAGAGAGAGAGACAGAGAGAAAGGTCTTCCTTTGCCGTTGGTTCACCCTCCAATGGCCGCTGCGGCCAGCAAGCTGCAGCCAGCGCACTGCGCTGATCCGATGGCAGGAGCCAGGTGCTTCTCCTGGTCTCCCATGGGGTGCAGGGCCCAAGCACTTGGGCCATCCTCCACTGCACTCCCTGGCCACAGCAGAGAGCTGGCCTGGAAGAGGGGCAACCGGGACAGAATCCGGTGCCCCAACTGGGACTAGAACCCGGTGTGCTGGCGCCGCAAGGCAGAGGATTAGCTTATTGAGCCGCGGCGCCGGCTTCTAAGCGGCTTCCTAATGACTGCAGAGATGCCCACCCTCAAATGTACTGTTTTGACGTGTGCGTGTCACCTGTTACACGCCATCCCCATCAGCCACTTCCACCGACACAGCTTGTGTCTGAGATGTACCCACGCTTCCACGACTGCCTCTGGCCTGTGGCTGAGGAGTGTTTGTGCATCACAAATGCACTTCTCCTCCTCTGGAGGAACATTTATTTCCAATTTTCCACTCCTGCAAACGGATGTCCGTGTCCGTTTCTCCGAGCACATATGGGGAAACTAGGACTGGATCCCACACGAGGGAATTGTTTGAGTTAACAACGGCTGACCTGCCTTCCAAAGAACCTGTTCGAGTTGATAAGAACCAGAATCAGTCTACAAAGGCATGTGCCTCTCTACAACCTTGCAAAAAAAAAAAAAATCCTTGCTCTTGTTGAACTTGCCAATGGTAACACTCGTGGGTTAACACTCTGACTCCCAGGCCACGTGTTAGCATAAGACGTTGATGGGATGCATGTATTAGAGGGACTGGTCCAAATTCCAGCTTCCTGCCAATGCACGCCCTGGGAAGGCAGCAGATGATGGCTCAAGTACATGGGTCCCTGCCCCACACAACGTCTCCGGTTTCTGGCTCCGGCCTGGCCCAGCCCTAGCTGTTGAGGGAAACTGGGGGAGTGAACCAGTATATGGCAGATCTATGTCTGTATCCCTCTGCCTTTCAAAGTGTGTGTGTGTGGACTAGTTGTTTTTATAAACAATGACTGCCTGTGTGGCACAACGCATTCACCTCAGTTAATGAGAACATGTGTAAGATAAGAAAGCTGATCAAAGGCTATTGGGGGCTGCCGCCACAGCTCACTAGGCTAATCCTCTGCCTGTGGCGCTGGCACACCGGGTTCTAGTCCTGGTCAGGGCGCCAGATTCTGTCCCAGTTGCCCCTCTTCCAGGCCAGCTCTCTGCTGTGGCCTGGGAATGCAGTGGAGGATAGCCCAAGTGCTTGGGCCCTGCACCCCATGGGAGACCAGATAAGTACCTGGTTCCTGCCATCGGATCAGCGCAATGCGCCGGCCGCAGCGCACCGGCCACGACGGCCATTGGAGGGTGAACCAACGGCAAAGGAAGACCTTTCTCTCTGTCTCTCTCTCACTGTCCACTCTGCCTGTAAAAAAAAAATAAATAAATAAAGGTTATTGGGTAAACTGGGTTTATATAGCCCTTTTGAAAACAGTGTTAGAAGAGAGGCCATATCAAAAATTGCTAATGTCCTACACGGCAATGCATTCTAACTATCTGAGGTTATCTTCTCTCTGAACTGATAACACCTGCATCTCTGCCAGGCACAGATCTACAAAATGACTTCAGAGAGCCTCAGCCCTTAATCGATAGTGAACAGCGACACTGCACGGCAGCACAGCATCCTGAAGGTTACCCTTCCTTCACCACGGCGCGGAAAAGATGGCTACAGGGGCCCGCGCTGTGGTACAGCAGGTGAAGCCGTCACCTGCAGTGCCCGCATCCAACAGGGGTGCGGTTCGAGTCCCTGCTGCTCCGTTTCCAATCCACTCCCTGCTAATGCACCTGGGAAAGCAGCAAAAGATGGCCCACGTCCTCGGGCCCCTGCACTCACGCGGGAGACCCAGAGGAAGCTCCTGGCTCCTGGCTTCGGCCTGGCCATGTGGCCATTTGGAAGGATGGAAGACTTCTCTCTTTCTCTGCCTCTGCCCCCCTCTCTCTGTATTTCTGCCTCTCAGATAAATAAATCTTTTTTTAAAAAGAGATCACTACATCCATTCTCCCTATTGCCAGATTTTGGATGATTTTTCTTTAAAACAGTATCAACCCCACAGCTTTAAACGGGGCTTTGATCGGTTGCTTCCACATGGCCTGGGCTCCAGGGCTCTCCAAGCCAACATCAGTCCTAGGAAAGTATCGTCCTCTCGTCAACAGTGTTGTTAACCCTCAAGTGTGCAGGCTGAAGGGCAGCTTCACCAAGTTAGGGCTCGGGGCAGTAGGGAATGAAGGCCGAGGACAGCACACAGCCAAGGGGGCCTGGCGGCGCCGGCCAGGGAGGACCAGGCTGTGCTCCCTGGGGCCTTGCAGCGGGAAGATGAAGCTCATCTCTGTCGCAGGCGCCTTCCCTGGAGGCATCGGCCAGACTTCGCTGGTCAGGGGCCAGTGTTTGTCACCCAGTCTCCTTAAGGTTGCCCACCCGGGGGGTGGGGGGCGGGCAGCACCAGAGGTAAAGGGAAGTAGAGGTAAACCAGATGGCCACTGCGGAGGACACCTGTGGATCGGGGGCGCCGCCGGGCCGCCGGGCCACACCCCGGGTCTGCGCGGGGGCCTGCTCGGAGCTCCGCGGGGGGCTGCAGCCTCGCTCTCCGCTCTCTCCGCTGCCCGCGGCGCGGTGCCGACCCTCCGGCTGCCGCTGGTGCGACCCCGCGTCCTAGGCTTCGGCTGTAGCCGGACAGCATCTCCCAGCCGGGCCCGGCCCGGCCACCGGCGGCTCCAGCGCGACCCCAAAGCGCCACGGGCTCCGCCGAGGACACCCCCCTTTCTCCTCGCCGTCCCGGGGCCCCCTCCGCCGGGCGGGCGGGCGGACTGTGCGGCCGGGGGCGCCCTCCCCGTCCCGCCAGGCTCCACGGGTCCCGCGGCTTCTCGGGCCTCGGCCTGCGGGAGGCACGTCCGGAATGCGCGGGAGGGCGCGGGGCCAGGAGGCCTGGTGCATCGCGGGGGACACCGCGGGACCCCCGGCCACAGCCAGCGACCCGCAGCTCGCAGCACCGCCGCTAGCGGGCCGGGCGCGGCGCGCAGCTCCCAGACGCCGGCGGTCCGGCGGGACGAGAAACGGAAAGAGAAAAAAAAAAGTCTCCCCCGAGCGCCCCCGTGCGCGCTGGGCCCGCCCCGCCCCGCGGCGCGTCCAGTCCCCTCCGGCGGCGGCGGCGGGGGCGCGCTCGGGTGTCGGAGGCTCGCCCGGCGCCGGGGTCGCTGCGGCCGCTGCAGCGCGGGCTCCGGGGCGCGGCCGGTCCCGGGAGGCGGGCGGGAGGCGGACGCGGCCCGGCCTCGACGTCGGCCACCGCGCCGCCGGCGATGGGAAGTGCCTTATAAAGCGGCCTCCCGGCCGGGCCGACGCACTCGTCTCCGCGCGCCGCCGGCTTTGCGCGCAGGCCGGGACGGACCGCAGCGCGATCCCGGCCCCGCACGGACCGCAGCCCGGGCGGGCGTCGGGGGGCATGCGCGGCCCGCGGCATGGCCTCGGCGGTGTTTGAGGGCACGTCTCTCGTGAACATGTTCGTGCGCGGCTGCTGGGTGAACGGCATCCGCAGGCTCATCGTCAGCCGGCGCGGCGACGAGGAGGAGTTCTTCGAGATCCGCACCGAGTGGTCGGACCGCAGCGTGCTCTACCTGAACCGCAGCCTCGCCGACCTGGGCCGCCTGTGGCAGCGACTCCGCGACGCCTTCCCGGAGGACCGGCCGGAGCTGGCGCGCGCGCCGCTGCGCCAAGGTGCGGGGCCCGGGGGGCACGCCCGGGGGAGCTGCGCTCCGGGGACAGGCACGGGGGCGGGAAAGGGGCCATCGCCGACCGGACGCGCGCCCTGCCGCTGCCCCAGGCTCAAATCTGCGAGGCCGGCTCGCGCGCGCCCCCGGGGCTGTCCAGGGTCCGCGGGACCCCGGGACGGCGGCAGGAAGGTGCTGGGGGGCAGCGTTCGGGACCCGCGACCACAGCGTCCGAGTTGGGGGTCGCGTCGGGCCTGGCAGCCTCCTACCCCCCCACCCCCCGCCCTTGAGAGTCCTGGCTGGGAGGGGCGGCTGAGTGCGAGGTGCCACGCGGCCTGTCCCGGCGGGGGCCGCCCCGCCCGCGGCCGCGCCGCCCAGCCCAGCGCCTCCGCCCAGGGCCCCAGCCGCATTCGGGTTGGATTAGTGACGGCCGCCGCCCGCCTTGGCCTTGGGACTCCTGTTTTTTAAAACTGCGGTGGTTTCCCTTCTGGTCCTGGCCGCCGCTGTGCGCGCTTCGAGGCCAGGCCGGGAGAAGGCAGGGAGTGGGAGGGGAGGAAGTGGGGGCGGGAAGAGGGCCGCGGGGAAGCCCCCCTCGTCCCCGCCCCGGGTGGCCACCTGCCCCTTGTGGGCTTTCCTCGGGCAGCGCTCCTAGGAGCAGAGAACACAGCTTGGAGACTTGGGGCGCAGTGACCCAAGCCGAGGGTGGCCGGCGCACAACCCCGTGCAGCCCCTGGCTGGGGCCTTGGGAGAAGCGCTGTGTTCCCCCTGGCGTTGGTCCCCACCCCTGTGTGTGGCGTGTGGGTGATTAGCTGGGTTCTCATGACACATCCTCCCGCAGCCAGCCGCGGCCTTTGCAGAAGCTGCCGGAAGCCAGCGACTTTGGAGGCCGGGCCGGGGGAGGGATCCTGCCCTGGGCTCCTGGAGTTTCACAGCTACAGCTTTGCCCCAGGCGTGCAAGTCCGCCTTGGAGTCGCGTGTTCTAATGTAGCAAGCGAGCGCCCAAATCAAGACCACCTCGTGAGGGAACAGAGACAGACCCGATGGCAAGGCAGGCCACATAGAGATGGGGGTGCCAGAGCTTCCCTCTGGGCAGGTGGCTGGAGTCCCGGCCTCACCTGTATCGAGGTGCCAACCGCCCGTGTCTGGCTCATGAGCACTAACAATAAGGTAGAAGTACTCTCAGAGAGTAATCTCTCCATAAGCACCGATTCTTATTACCGTGGCATCGGCTGCTTGCCTAAGGTTGCTGAACCACGGGGAGGGAAGAAGGCTGTGCCCTCGGCCTTGGCCTGCACAGGTGAAAATGCGTCACCTGGGACAGGAGTGGGAGGGGCTGGCCCTGGCTCCGTGGCTGTCACACCCGCTGGTGGGGACAGTGCCGCAGTGTTGAGGTGTGTGCACGGAGGGAGGGGGTGCCCTGGTGTGGGAAGCGGGTGGTTTCTATGGAGAAAGAAGACTTGGCAGGGGTCTGATGGCCGCCTTTCAAGGGGAACAGAACTTGGAAATAATGATGGGGGGCTGCCAGGTGTGGTTGGAGCGAGGACCGTACGGCATGGACAGAACTGTCGGCAGGGCGCCTGGCTGGTGCAGGGTCCTGTCCCTCCTGGGTCAGCCCAGTGCCCCCGGGACAGATGCAGAGGACGCAAAGCCCCGCGGGCTCTGTGCCTGGAGGCGGGCCCCTCCCCAGCTCCAGTTTCCTTGTGCAAAGCCGGGGGAGTCCTCTTCCTGCTTCTGATGCTTTTAAGTCCAGGGACAGAGTTTGCTAAGTCGGGTACCTCCCAGGCCTGCAAAAGCAGATTCCACCTTCTTTGCAGATTTATTATTTGCATAAAAATCCCGCCCGGGTCTACAGGCTGGAAACACAGAAGGCACCCAGGTGTGGGTGGTGTTTGGCAATGCCAGCTTCTCCCCGTGGGGTGTCTTTTCCCACCAGACTCCTGGGGTTTCATTTTTTAAAAATCATTTCTGGGCTGTGCGAGATGTTTCCACTGTCTGCTCTTTGTGCACTGGAACACCCCTGGGGTCCCTGCAACTCCTGGGGCCACCCAGGGTTTCCTGCCCCAGCCCACGACCAGGGCCTGTTGCCTTGTTTCTAACCTCTCCCGTCTAGAAAGATCAGTGAGAGTACTTCAAACAGTGGGAAGACGGCATTGAAAGATACGTTTATTTTGGTGGAAAAAAATATTGAAATTTGTGCATAATTTCCATGAACTTTCTGAATACCCCTTGGATGCCTTAAGACATAAACTCACAGAATTTCCCCGTCAACTGTTTGAGGCTCTTGGACTATTCTTTCTTAAGATTTTTTTATTTCTTTAAAAGTCAGAGTGACACAGAGAGAGGGAGAGCCAGAGAGAGAGAGAGAGAGAGAGAGAGAGAGAGAGATCTTCCGCTTTCATTCCCCAAATGTCTGGCTGGGCCAGGCTGAAGCCAAGAGCCTGGAACTCAGTCTGGGTCTCCCACGTGGGTGCAGGGACCCGGGCACTTGGGCATCCTCTGCGGCCTCTGGGGTGCGTTGGCAGGAAGCTGGGTCAGAACTGAACAGCCAGGACTCGAGCCAGGCACTGTGATGGGGGGCGGTGGCTCCACCCACTCGGCCCCAGTGCCAGCCCCACCTGGACTAATTTGATTCTTTCTAAAGGGCCCCCATTTCAGGCCTGGTGACATCAGCCAGCCACAACAGGTGGCTTCCCAGTGCTCAGGTGGTCTTGGAGTCTCCGTTCTGTAAAATCAGCACTTTGTGCATCGTGCCTTTAATCAAGGACCCGCTGAGTGTCCACCGTGCACCAGGCGGGTTCCAGGCTTTGGGGACACCCCCCCAAATCCTTGCCCTCATGATTCTTAAGTTCTGCTTGGGAGAAACCCAGTAATAGAACCAACAGGTGGAAAACTCTGTGAGTGAGAAATGTCAGAAGCAAAGAAGGCGAGAAAGGAGTTGTGGCTTTAGGGAGAGGGAGAGTTTTGCTTGTAGACAGGGATGGGGACAGGGACGGGGCAGGGGCAGGGGCAGGGACGGGGCAGGGGCAGGGACAGGGATGGAACAGGGACAGGGACAGGGATGGGGTAGGGACAGGGACAGGGATGGGGTAGGGACAGGGACAGGGGCATGGACAGGGACAGGGACAGGGATGGGGCAGGGACAGGGGCAGGGACAGGGACAGGGGCAGGGGCAGGCTTGCTGACGAGTGACCTTTGGAAGCTGGAAGAAAAGCAGGGAGCCAGCTCGGGGGGTCCGGGGCGGGGGGAGCAAGTGCAAGGGCCTGAGGCCAGAGTGTGCCAGTGGGTGTGGGTGGTGAGGAGGCCAGGATGGGGGAGGGGTGCAGGTCAGGGAGGTCACAGTCAGGCTGTCCTTCAGGGATGGCCATGGTCCCTGGAGAGCCCTGAGCTCTCTGATCTGACTCCGACTGCTGGTCTGGGGTGCGTGAGTGGAACAGGGAGGGGGCAGGCAGGCAGGTGGCAGCTGCTGGGGCTCGGGGCCGGGTGCCTGGGAGCAGGTGTGAGAAATGGCTAAGCCATGCTGGGTCTTGAAGGCGGGGCCACAGGAGGCCCTGGGAGTCTTGATGGGGAGGGGGGAGAGCCGAGGGTTTGGCCAGAGAGGTGGGACTCTGGGTGCTGTGAGGAGACAGTGGGAACAGCTGGCGTGGGGAGGGCGTGGTTCCGGGGACCCTCGGGAAGCAGGTCTGTAGGTGAGCCTTTTCCCGGTGCTCTCTGCCTGTCTGTCACAGCTGGGGGAGATGATGGCCCGGGCTCGAGATTAGCTCTCCCATGGGGCGTGGAGGCGTCCACGTCCAGCTGGCCCGAGACAGGGCTGCACACAGAGATGACGGCCGGAACCCACCCTGCTCCGGGGCATACTGGGCTCTGTGCCCAGGGCCTGGACCTGCCCACACTGTTCCTGTGTGGACGCCAGGGGACAATCCCACCTGAGGGAGGGTCCAGCCCAGAGCCACTGAGCACTAAAATACAGCACAGCGGTCACGCTGGCTGGGTTTGGGCAGCACAGCAAGGGGCGGCTCTGCGCAGCCCTGGCGGGGGACCCCGTGGTTGGGGTGCTGGGGTGGGGCTGCCCTAGCCTCTGACCCGGCAGGGCGTCCCTCGGGCATCCTGCCCCTGCTTGCTGGGCCACTTTCCCCTCTCTGAGGGTCTGGGGGACTTTCCCGACTCCCAGACCCATGGAGGCTCCTGCCCCGGGCCGTGTGTGAGCCTTGTGAGCAGGGCGCATTCAGAGTGCCGGGCAGGGCTGGTCCACAGTCAGGGACCGGGTCAGCTTGGGGTCCACTGGTGTCTGGGGGGGTTGGGACTTGGGGGGACCGGCAGAGGCTGTTAGCATCCTGCCCGAGCTGCGTCCGGGACTGACCCCCTGGCCTCTGGGGCACCCCCTGCTGAGCGGGGGGCTGGATCCTTGTCTATATCCATCCTTGGGTCTGCCACCCCACTCCCGTGGGTGACAGTAGGCGCCCACGGGTCCTCTGTAAGATGGCTCCTTGCTGTGGAGCAGGTCTTGGCCTGGAGCCTGTTCTCGCTGCTGTGTGCGACTCGGGTCGCTCCCGCTCCGTGCCTCCCTGCAGGCTCCCTGAACACTGGCAGCCGTGTCCTGCCGGGCGGGAGCCACCTGCCCAGGTGCCTGAGGCTCTCGGTGGCGTCACTGGCCCCGGGATCGAGTGACGAGGGTAGACACAGCCACAGCGCTGATGCTGGCACGGTTTTCTGCCGTTTGTCTTAAGAACAAGAGCCTTCATTTATGCCCGGCTGCTGGGTGACCTGACCGAAGCAGGGGAGACCGGGGGATCTCAAGGGGCAGCCGAGGCTGTGGGCAGCGAGTGGGGAGGGCGGGGCAGTTCTGACGTTGATACAGACACTGTTGTGTCCCCCCGTGACCGTGACCATCCTGCCTCCCGGGCCCAGGGTGAGGGGCTCTGTCCACCGCACAGGCCCGGACTCTGCTCACCCACATCCCCACTGGGCTGCTTGGCTGTGTAGACCAATGTGCCAGTGCTCTGTTATTCT